CTCCCGGTGAGAAGCCACAATACTCCACGATTACCGTGGGGGATTTGATCAGCCGGAAGAAGCTGCCCTGGATGTCGACCTTGACTACGGCAATGGTATGGGGCGGCAAACTTGCCGATCTGGTGTCCAAGGCAGACACTATGGCACAAGAGATCCTCGACCGCAATGAGGTGGAGTGCAACGGCCGGAAGGTCATCATCTTCATCGCTTGGTCGGGTAATGATGTGTTTGGTGAGGGCGGCTATGTTGGATGCCGTTGGATCCACCAAGCCCGCTACCTCAAGTCAGAAGCCGACCGGAAGGTCGCTGCCGACTGGCCAAAGAATCAAAAGGCCCGAGTTCAGGCAGCGATCAACGCTCTGCCGGCCCTGAAGAACAGGCCGGGTGTCTGGGATCTCATCCTTGTCGGGAATGCCGATGCCGCCGATTACAATCTCGTAGACCAGTACACACGGGAGATGACGGCCTGGTACTACGAAGCCTTCCACCTTCATCGGATTATGTCCCTTGATCCTACATGTTTGAATATTGCTGCCAGGCGGTACGACGGGGTCCACATGAACGATTCCGACGCGTCGAAAACCGCAGCGTCAGCCTGGTGGACGGCGGCCATCGGATACCACCATAGCTATTTGAGGTATCTCGAGGCCAAGCCTGGCATGGAGCCATTGGCGGTGCTGCCCGAGGGTGACGCTCTCTTCAACGAGGAGATCACCAAGGACCTGTTCGCGTATCCCACGATCAGCGAGGTCCGTCACAAGCTAAATGGAATGCTCGCCGGAAGGCCAGCCGAATCTCCCCCAACCACCCAAGAGCAAACTGATGTTATCGATGGGTGTGATGCCGAGATTGCGCTGTGGGTGCAGGAGGCATTAGAGGAAGCGGCTGACATGGCAGCAGATGACTTGGTTGGTGATCGCCTTTCCGAGCGTCAGGCAGCGCTCAACCCGCCGGAGCTCTTTGATGAGTCAGACGAGGAGACAGAGCGGTCAACCACATCCGGAAGGCGGACAAGGAGGAAGCCTTGGCAGACGGAGCTGATGATACAGTTGATGATGAATGGAACTCCGTCATCGAGCCCGAAATGATGGACTTTGGCCTTTGGACCAAGGTGGATGCCCCCGGTGTGAATGTGGACAAAGTTGAACCTGCACCACCGACGGAACGGGAAAAGGCAGAGGAGATCGATATTGATGACATCACCACTGTCAAGACCTCTGACATCGAGGAGTTCCTGGGGATGTCCCTTGATGATCCCAAGGACAAGAAAGATGACGACGAAGAAATGCCCGATTATGGGGCGGACGACGAGGTCGAGATCATCAAGGATGATGATGAGGAGGAACAGCCCTCTGCGGGTGAAAAACGCAAGCCGGAAGGCTTGCCGGAATCTTCATCAGTTGGAGCGGCAGCGAAAGTCGCCACGAAGAAGATGCCCAAGCCTCCGGGGGGCGAGCAGAGGCGCAAAGTGCAAAAGATCGTGAAATATGACGACTCCCATGAGAAGGACATCCCATTGCACTTGCAGCCAGGCGTCCAATCATACATCGGACCAGAGCACATGTTGAAAGTGCCTGTGCGACCGATGGACGACCGGCTGACTGAGATTTCTCACAGCCTCTCGAATCACCTGCGAGGTGTGCAAAAGCAGAGGAGGAAGCCCACTACCACCTTCAATGATGACGGGTCCAAAGACTGGAAGGGCTTGATGAGGCATCTCAAGGACGAGATTGCCAACCTCCAAGAATTTGAGGTGCTTCTCTGCATTCGGAACAACGACGACCGGCGATTCAAACTTCGAGTCTGTTTGCCGGGAGGGGTCGAGGGAGCTACCTGGAAAGGTACGCCGTGGGAACCAACAGCAGTAAAAGCTGTTCAGGGCCACAAAGATTGGGTCATTGAACGCATCGGGAACCGAGCCATTTGTCAGGAAATCTATACGTTGGACGATGAGTTCGACGTGGACAAGCTCGACCGAGGCTATCACCCAAGGTTCAACTGTGACCCTGAGACGTCCCACAGCTATACCACATTCCCAAGGGTGGTTTACCATTCGACTGATTTTCGCGGCTGCAGCGATATCATTAAGAATGGCCTCGTGGTTGGCGGTTTCCCCCGGAAGACGGGGCGAGGACACAATTATTTCACAGTCACTCCGCCATGGGTCGCGAATATGCGCAAGCTCGCGGGAACGCGAGCCGGTCAACCCATTTACCTGGCATTCGACACCGAGTTGATGCTTCAGGAGGGTGTGAGGCTCTTCCGCACCGATGCAGCTATCCTTTCTCCGGATTGGATTAGCAATAAACATCTGATGTTTGCGTATAACGCACGGGATGCATCGTTCGCTTGGGCAAATCCAGCCTATCCGAAATTCCGGAGTGATTATCATTCCAGCCTCAAGGAATTTCAGGATGCCGATCCGAATCACCCCGCAGCACCGGCCCAGTATCAGCTCTCCCGTCTCGGGATGATGAAAAATTTTATGTTGGTCGACAACTGGGCGGACGTCAAGTCCAAGATCGTCAAGGGTGCAGTGAACATCGTTCGACCACCCCGTGAGCTCGAAGGGGTCATCGATGAACTTGCCCAAACCGATGCTCGCCGGAAGGCGCAGCCGGGAACTGAGGCTGAGTCTTGCGAGTTGAAGGGCTACATGCTCGCCCCATGTGCGATTGTCCAGAACTCTGACATCGCGGGGCTGAGGAGCGCGCACCACAACCGGAATCGTCCGTGGGCGCGTGGGCAAGACAGCTATGATCTCGAGCCCAAGGACGTTGCCATCAACGTGATCCTTCGGATCCCTGTGGAGAAGTGTCGCACTCCGCTCTGCGGAAATGAGAATTGGCAGGGAGGAATCAAGTGCGACTACTGCAAAGCCCACCTGACGGTGTGGCCGGACGCCAGGATTGCCACTGAAGCGGCCAGGGCACAGGCTGAAGCAGATCTTCAGAACACAACTTGTGTGATCGAAGACCTCATCAAGCGGATCCCGAGGAAAGCAAGACAAACCAAATCCGCAGCTGAAGCCGGCGACACTGAACGCCGCGGTGCCCGATCTGCCTTCGGAGTCCTTCGTGACAACGCGAAAGCCCACATTCGTCAAGCCAAGAAACGTGGTGCCGCAACCCTTCGTGAGAGGCTGGAAACCGACCCGTTTTATGCGGTGAATTGTGCAAGGGCGAACCTCACGCCCGATGCACTCGACTTCCTGCAGCGGCTCGGGCGAAGCATGAATCCGAAGCTTGGAAGAACAGCCGAGCAGAGGAAAGGAAAGAAGGGAAAGGGCACCGGAAAGGATGATCAGGCTGCAGAAGAGCAAGAGGAGATGGAGGCTCGTGCGACCCGTCTCTGCTTCATTTTGAAGCTCGACCGGGGCGACGACGACCCTGTCGATTTGGCTGATGAGGCGTTCGTGGCACACAAATGCCGGTTCTTGACCTTGGCGCAGTTTGCCACGTACGTCGATTTTGCAATCTTGCAGAAGAATCAGCCTCCGCCCGTGATCATCGGCTGGAACGATAAGCAATGCCAGCCGGAAGGCTCGGCCGAGAACATCCTCAAAGATCTTGTGTCCTTCGCCCGATTGAACTGGCCCGATGCTGCAAATGAATTTGGGCACAGCTTGAAGGTGATCGAGGGGACGCACAAGAAGGTCAGTGCGGTGTCTCGCAAGTCGACGGCGAACCAGAATCTACGATCTGGATTCTTTCCCGTTGACCAGGCCGAGCATAAAGCCAAGAAGGGCAAAGGCAAAGGAAAAGCTCCAGCCTCCGGTTGCTTCGTGTGCGGGGGGCCGCACTACAAGATCGACTGCCCTACCTATCACGAGCAACGCCTCCAGCAGCGGACCCAATCCCGCAAGGGGAAGGGCAAGGGCAAATCTGATCGCCCGCGCCCATGGGCGCCAGCCGCACACCAGTGGCGAATGGTGTCGAAGCCCTCGGAGGGAAAGGGTCCGGCCGGAAGCTCATCTGATGCTGTGGTCGGGCCGCCGGAGCGCACCATTGCCCAGGACATTGCAATGAAGGGCGCAGCCAAGGCCAAAGGCAAGGGCAAGAGCGATAGTCAGCCGAAGGGCAAGGGCAAATATGAGCCGCAGAAAGGGCAGTATAAGTCCGAGCCATACAAGGGGCAGGGCAAAGAGAAGGGCAAGGAGAAGGGTAAAGGTAAGCCTGCCCAGGAGCGGGTTTACTATGGCAAGCGAGAGTGGTCCGGATCTTGGAGCTTTTCGTGGAAGTGGACTACCTCCCGGGGATGGTACTGGGAGTGGGACCCATAGATCCTTTTCGGCCATCAGAGTGTGGATCTTCCATGCTAGCGGGAACGTTAGCCGGAATGCTTTCTTTCTCATGTTGGCATGTGAAGTATTGGAGTTTCAAGTTCGCTACGCTAACGGGAACGTTAGCCGTCTATCATCTTTTGGGCTAACTGTTTCAACAGCGTTGCGAACCGGAAGGTTTGCCGTGTCCATTTTGGCTGGCATGCCTAGTGCATTCATCTTGTCTATAGTAATTCACGGTGCAAGTCACCTATGGCATCTTGATTGGAGTGGTATTGCTCCCGTGATGCTAGGTGGAAACCTAAGCCGTGTATTTTGGTTTTTTGCAGCATCCCGCTACGAGCGCAAAAGGAGCCGAACCTCACCTGCAACTTTCTCCACTACAACCACGCATTCGTAGGTCATGCATATTGTACATAGCATTGCAGCCTGTCCTAAGGTCTATGATGGCTGCACTTCTGCCTCTTCGGTGCTGCCAGTGACCTGGCGGCGCCGCGGGGGGTATTTTTCACTGCTTGTACATAGTCATGTCCTCTATACGCGTATTGTTTGGCTCAAGAAAAAGGTGTATTTTACTGGCTGTTTCCTATTTGAAATAGGAACATGCTCAAAACACGCCGAATCAGACTCCCCAACAAAAATCGTGATTGGGTCGCTGAAATCTGCCGATTCCACCGTGTCTTGCAGGGGCTCCGGGCACCATCCGCCTCGCTTTAAGGCAAGCTGCTGAGCGTCACGCCCGAGCAGTCTGGGCCAACGGCCTTGGAGCAGGCGAGGAGCAGTGGGGGGCTTCCAGGCGGATCAGGTGAGCCAGAGGAAAGCAGTGTCCCGCGTTCGGGTGACATCCCCGGTTTTTATGGGAAGAGTCTTTTTTCTTTTCCAGGTGCCTGGGAACCGCCAATCCAGATCTTACTGTTAGACCAATGGCGCGCATCAGCACGAACCCAAGCTCTAAGCTCCCATCCATTTTGTGGATGGCCAGCCCCCTGAGGGCCTTCTTTCTTCCGACCATCGCCAGGTGGTGTTCACTCCAAGTCCATTTCCGAGTTCTGTCCTCGGAAATTCGGACGTACACAACCACCCTACACTCTGACTCACTAAGATGGAAGTGGAAAACCACGTGTTTGTCGAGGAAAGTAGTCTTCCAAGTGACCATGCCATCCACTTCCATGCGATGTGTTCGTCAGAGTGTAGAGCTTTCTTGCATGCCTGTTCCAATTCCTGGATGACCGAACGCCCATGTCCAACGCTACGAAGTGGGAGTGGCAAGTCAGCGGACTGGTCAAAGTCGATCCTGCAGAGCGTCGTTCAGGCATATAGGGCCCCTAGGGCTCCTGTCCCATCAGGTTCGGTGGTTAGACCCCCCCGGCCCCCACCCTAACCACCTTCGAAACGGAGGTAGGCCAGGAGCGCTAGGGAAATGGAAGGGGGTGCCGCGGGGAGCTGGAGAAAGTGATGAGAAAGGACAAACTGTTCATCAATCTCATGGATCCTTTGTTCATGTTCTCATCCCAAGCGTTTGGCAAGCAAGAGGAAGATGAACATCAGGCTTGCAGGGTAAACACTCCATGACCATGCAGTTACACGATAATTAGTGAGAGCTTTCCGACATAGAGAAGGCATGTCTTGTGACGCGCTACGTGGAGTACGACGATATTTTGGAAGGACTCCAGCCCTGCCAGTCATGGCCAACATGTAGTAGAAACAAGTGCCACGCTAGTAGTAACAGGTGCCTTACTAGTAGTAACAAGGTTCGCTACGAACGGGGCTCCTGGCCTTACGACCGGAGCAAGAGGACGCTACTATGTCAGTGGTCCGCTCCTGTACGCCGTTGTGCAGTCCTTGTCTTGGTCGTGACGACATGGACATGACCTGTCGGGAGCTTGGCATACACTACATTTGGGGGTGCTTTCAGTGGTCAACGCAGGAGTATTCTATAAAGAGTCTATATAGATATCATAGATGATATATACATATATGTGTTTATAGATCGATCTGGGTTTTATATACGCGTTTTGTATGTTCCATACCTGTGGAATGTATGGCTTTCAGTCCCTGTGGGTCACCAGAGACAGACTCTGCTTCGACCGCGTCACCGGACAACGGTTACCTCCATGAACGGCACCCATTCGAAGTGCTAGGGCATATCTTATGCTGTATGCTTATAGAATGGAGTGTTTGAGCCTGGAAGAGGAAGCCAATAATTGAGGAACGTGGAACCCCTGAAGCCACAGGGTCCTCGTTCTTTCGCCCTATCATGGGGTTCAGGCTTTGCCTCCCGATGTTGCCCTGTGAAGGATCTTCCCGGCTTAGTGGGCGATCCTCACCCACCGTGCGAGCCCCAGAAGCCCCAGCAAGTGGAGACGCTTAGCGTCCAGTCTGGATCCGAGCGTCGGCCTGTTTTTTTTCACTGGAATGAACTGGTTGTGCTGATGATAGGCCTAGGGTGATGGTGATGGACAACCCCCATGAGGTCACAAGATCAGCATGGGGAAGTGGTGGTATTTGGTGCCAAAGACACTCCTAGATCGGGTGGAAGGGAACATATTCAGTATTCAGTATACCCCAGACACTCCATGGGACTGTCATATTATTTGTGCCAATCAGTTGGGGTGGTTGAAAGAGGGTCTGGTTTGATCGGCTCTCTCCGTCCTGGCGGTCCCAGACAGGTCGTGTCTGGGTACGCGCTTCCTTCGCTGCTTAAGCGACCGCCCGATGTCGCGAATTCGCGGTCTTCAGACGTCGTTCTTCCCCGGCCAAGGCCCGAGAAAGACCGGAAGAAGGAGAAGCGCCACAGCATCTTGAAGCAAGGCAAGGACAAGGAGCCCCCCGGCATCTGGCGGTCGATGACGCCAAAAAACGGAGATCCGTGCGGGCGTAATTCGACGAGCGTGGAGCGTGTGGTGTTTTTTTTTAGTTTTTTGGTGTGGGCATGGATTCCACTGGATGGACCCGCCTGGTTTTGTGGATCTTTTCCCGAGCTGTGTCAATCCTCTTTGGAATCTTTGGGGGCATACTCCCCAATTACACCCCCAAGTACCTCCTCAGAAGGCCATGACTGGACCCTCCTGGCACCCACCCCAGTCCCACCTTCTCAGAAGGTACGACTGGAGGCCTAGGGATTGGGGTGGCTTTGTTTTCCAGCTTCCTGGGAGCACCTCGCTGCGACCAGTCAAGTCGTCGAAAAACACCTCGCTGCTGCGACTGGGAGCTTCCGGGGGCTCTCCATCGAAATGGGTGCCTAGGCCTATAGAAGCGACCCTGGACCCGAACCAACTGCTACATGTTGATTCGGTTCAGAACCCACCCTAGTTGTGAGGGGTCAAAACCCTAGCGAACTGAGGGTGCAATGAGCGTTTGGGTGGGTGTGAAAGGTGTTTCTGTTTGTTTCTTTCTGATGATTCCTGTGAGTTCCATGAGACTTTGGCTTTTTTCGGGTCGGCCGGCTGAGCCCTCAGAGAACCTGTTAAAGTGATGTGAATCCCTCGGAGAACCCTGGTTGTCGGAGATCTTTTCTGGTTTTCTGTCCAAGTCGGAGATCTTTTCAGTCTGAATCATTGGCCCCATACATTGCCCTCGTGCTTTCACTGCAGGATGACGAGTTCAAGGACATTCGCATGAAAGGTGGTGTCTTCGGCGCAGCCGCTTGACGTTGCATGCGTGACACCAGCTTTTCTGTTCACACTGTGGTGATTGATGGGGAGCGGATCTCAAGTGATGGTTTGAGTTGGTTGGAGTTGACCGAGGGGGAGGTCATTGCAGGGGGGTTACCAGTTCAGTAACCTGCAAAGTGGAACAGGCTTGGCTTGGCTAAACCTTTCCATTTAGGATGTGTTCAGACATGCCTGTTCCCATTGCGAGTGCTTCTAGAGTCATAGGGCATGGTTGCATTTATACACTGATATACTGTAATAACGATTAAGCGTGTCCCACATTTGGATGTTGTTGTTCAACAATTGTGGAAACTTATAGGGCAACAATAGTTTGAAGGCGATTGCTCATGACATGTTTTATATTTAATATACTTTCCGGCAAAGGCTTCTGCAATCCTTTTAGGGGTGAGTTCCTTTGTCTAGTTTTATTTTGCTTTTTGTTGAGCTGCAACGGAACCTCCTCCTGAGGGCAACGACAAGGATTTGCGCTTGGATGAGGACGTGCTGCTTGGATGGTTTTGGAGGGCTCAGCTCGTGGCTCGTAGGGCCATCATGGGCCATCCTAGGGCCGACGGCTTTGAGTCTGTCTTCAACAGTTGACATTTTACACTCCCTCAAATTTGACCGTGGAAGTGGAAAGCCACTGATTGGTAGACAAGCTATCCAAGGTGCCCTTTTCCACTTCCTCATTCCACAGCATGTATTATATGATATCATATTATATGCTTCTATCGTACCCTACGTTTGAGCCATCAGAACAGCGTGTGTGTGTAATGGTGACGACTTTCTGGTCAAGTTCCGGGTGAGTTGGAGCAGCGGAGCGCTCTAAGGTGTGATCAATCATGTTCAACGGTGAGAACGTGATCCCTTGGGGTGTTCAATGTTTCATAGGACCTGACTGCTCATCCAAATAATCATCCATCCAGACTCCAGATTCTGATTCAAGACATGTTTGGATGAGCTACGTCATCTCCCAGGTATGATGTGCGGAACTTCTACAAGAAGACCGGCTGTGCACAAGCCGTCGTGACTGGCTCAGAGCGGCTGCCATAGCCTGCCCCTGTTCAACGGCAAGAGACGTGAGACATATCAACACACTCAATTCTTCCTCTCCTGGCCAAGGGAAAAGGACACCATATGGGAAATGCCGCCGCCTGTCGACGTCGACGTCTTATCCATCGAGACGCTTGTTGGGCTCCTGGCCCACCTCCGTTTCGAGGGTGGGACTCGGTCTAACTACCTTCTGAGAAGGTGGTTGGAGCCCTAAGGAAAGCTTATAGGAATCACTGTGTAGAGATAGGGAGCCCTGAGCTTAGCGATACCAGAACGCCATGGATAGCATGACCGCGTAGCATGACCGCTGCACTGCCCCTTCTTCGCTTCCTCCGCGCCGCTGCGAAACTCCCGAGGCGCGGAGCGATCGCTTTGAGCGGTTGACCCTGATGGTCATCAGTGGCTCGGCTCGGTGGATTTCGCCGGTCGGCACCGTTTTGTTCCGGCGGGTGACACACTCCACCGTGGGGGTGGAGAAGGAGCAGGAGCATGTGACTGGAGGATCGGAGCAGGACTCAGGGTCCCTTTTTGTTCCTCAATCTGGTCTTCATTGGCCAGACAGTAATTATGGTTACTATAGTTTGTACTTTGGTGCTTGCTTTGCTTCTATGATCGTATATGCTTGAGTCGGTGGGGAAGCCACAAACCTTTTGCCAGCCTGTTGGTCGCCGACGTTTCCCAAACGAGCGACCTGTCCTCGAGATCGATCTCTCTAGTCATGTCCATCGTCCACTCCTCATCCAGGACCCCCAAAGGACCCCCCAAATCTTGCACTTGTATTCTATATATAAATATGTATAATCATGATTAATCATTAATGAATTATGTCTCATATTGTCTCATTTGTGTTCGTGACAGATTTTGCAGATAAAACTCCTTTTCCACAAGCTGCACATGTGCGCAGCTCAGCATCTTTTTTCAAAGCAAAGGTCGATGGATTCCATGTCGGCCATGCCGCTTACACCGAGGCATCAATGCAGTCTACATCGGCGGCTTGGATCTGGCTTTCGTCCGGATGTCCTTTAACAGGGATGCTACTGGATACATCCTTTTTTCTATTTTGCTCCTTCTTCGTTTCTCATGGATGTACCTGAAATGACTGTTGTGTATATAGACTTGTCAGATCAAAGATGACTAACTAGTATATCTTGGGTTTGTCCGTTCTTACCTGTAACAGTCAGTAAACAAGCAAATCACTACTTTGGGACAAGGCCTCTACTAATCCACTGGGCCCAGGCAAGCACGGATAGACCCAAAGTATCTCAAAGGCGCCAGGAAGAGGGGCGTGTGGGATCTTGAGACGGGCGGAGGTCGACTGAGTCTGACCAGAACAGGAAGGTTCTCCTACCAACCACTCCAAGGGGCCTACCAAGGGTCTATTCCTACCAACCAAGACCAGGAATAGACCCCTCCAACCTGTTGGGTCTACCAACAGGCTTTTTTTGTTTGACTAGACCCTTGTTGGTTGTAGGGGTCTCTCATGGCCATTGACCTTTTCTTATGAACAAACAGGTGCCCAATGGATCAAACAGAGACTATTTGTCTTGCGATGGTCGAGTTCGTTCCATATCAAAGATTGGAGCTTCTATCCGGATGCGCGCACCTTTAGGTGTTGATGCGGACAACAACAATGCAAGTTCCATGGTGGACGCTGCATGGCCTTATGTCGCCACTGGGCTTGGAAGCCGTTTTCGCGAGATGCCGCAACACACGGCAGAAGGTCTAGCGAGCCTAGCGGCTGAGCGCCTCCAATGGTTTCCATTTGTCCATATTTGTTGATTTCCATATGCCATATGTGTTTGTTGGAATGTAACCTGGATGGGTTTTGGCATGAGGAGATGTGGTTTTGGATATAGGGTATTGTCCTTCACTTCTGGTTGGGTGGATTCTTGCGATAGCCTTACTCATTTCGTCATTTGGGAGTTCAGGTGTCATCTTTTGGGATGTGGTGTTTCATTTCTCAGACATGATCCTTTTTGTCGTCACCTCCTATGCAGACTGAGTTCAAGCGTATTTGTTTCAGCTATGTGTTTGTTTGGCTGAAATCTTCAGTCATTGCTGGTCGACACCATCATGGCTTCTGAGAGGAGGAGGGACTCCCTTGATTCAAAAAAAGCGACGTCGAGGGGGAGCGGAGGGACTGGTCGTATTTCCTCCTTATTTGACCAGCCCTAGGCTAGGGATCCGTTTTCGTACCGAACCTCAGGTACGGTGTTGTGTGAGAACACTGTGATGTAGGTGCAAGGTAACCGGCTCCAGTCGTAGCGGTTCGGTACAAGGGTTCGGTACGAAAACGGATCCCTAGGGAAGGCCAAAGTGCCTGCAGTCACAAAGGGGTGCTTAATGGAGGTTAGGGGTGCCCATTATCCACTCACTTGGGGACTAAACACCACCCCTTTGTGACTGCTGGTGATTGGGTACAACGAAGTCTTCAGCTTTGAAGGCGAGGCCAAGTGCCGAGTCCGACCACTGCCGCTGAGTGCTCCGACTTGTCCATCACATCCCCCGACAGCATATCCACTACAGAATGGATGTATTTGACTTCATGGGTGAACTGGTGTTCTTTGGGTTCCATTCAGTTTGAGAGATTGAACAGGCGTCGAGGTGGCCTAGCATGGCCTAGCTATGTGGCCAGTATACATCTGGATTTGAGTTGATTTTCCGGGATATGATATGATCACCCCTTTTGAGGGGTGACAGCCGCCCTTCACCATGAGAGACTTGAGAGACTCTTCTTGATGAAGCCGCTCTTACCAAGGACCGTGGGTCAGGTGTGCGTGTTTGAAGGTGATGTTCGATCCGGCCGTATGTCGTTTTGGCAGCGGTCGCTGATTTGCCACTTAGGTATTTGACAATATGTTCTGTGCCTTCTTCACAGCGGAGCTGCTGATCAGAGCCTTGGAGGATGTAGGACCTAACCATTCGTGTGGCTATAATTTGATATTAACTATATATTTTGAGTTGAGAACATCCCTTCCACACAAAGAGGAAGTGGAATGGTTCAGGCACTTTGACCAGATCAGGGTAGCCGACCCAACCACACAAGCCATCAATGTTAACTGTTGAAATATGTTAACTGTTTTTTGTTCAGCAACTATCGAAACACAAGCGCCTCAACTGACTGCTGCGACAAAACTAAGGAATGAACATGGCAGGAACTTAGGGTATCTATAGTTACTATAGTAGGACTCAACGGGATTTTCTGGGGACACCTTGCGAACCTGCGTGAATTTGCGGGCCTGGTCTTCCTGGGAATCCCCTTCTGAAGGAAAGCTTTATTTCTTACCGATTCCTTGAGCAAATCCAACTCTTTGTGCTACCTTGTGGGGTCAACATAAGGCCATGTCTTTGACATTCTTTGACCTTTGCGGCCCAAAGACTTTAGGCTTGTTGTAGACCGCTAGGGTTCCAAGTACCTTCTGAGAAGGCGGGACTGGCTTCGGAAGGTCCAGTCATACCTTCGTTTCGTTTCGGCACGACGATCACCGCCCTGACAGGGACATGCTGATCCATAACCGCCCTTAGGGGTCCTGAGTCCGGTGCTGGAGTCGTCCTGTTCGTGGGTCCAAAACCTGCAGGTTGCAGCTTCTTCCGGTGGTGAGTGGATCACCTCCTGTAGGTTCGTCCGTTCATTTGGATAGGGTAACTGGTCGGTCTCCGCAGAGCCCTCCAGTTTTCACTGATCTTCGTCCAAGGATTTGGAGCTTTTGCTGTGAAGCGGAACTGCCTCAAAGACAGGTGCCGCCGATGCACGGCGTTTTGTCGGGGGTCGGTGGGTGGGGCGGTGGTCGGAGGTAGGTAGATGACGAGAAGCCCAATGCCAATGAGATTCGACTCTGAAACTGAAATGAAGCCCAAAAAGGAGGTGAATTTGTTGGTTACCCTCACCCCCATCATCATGAGTCACTGCACCAGCCGCAGCCGAGTTCTTAAAACCCGGGGCTCATCGGGAGTTCTGTCCGGAGTGCGCTGTGGAAAGCCCCCAGCTTGCTTGGCCCCACGGCTTGGACTTCGATGTGGCACATGTTTTCCACCCAGCTTGGCTCATTGAACAAAAGTCATGTCCAGTTTGCACTTGCCTAGGTTATTGAACACACGATGCCTAGGCATGTGATTGAACACCGCAGCATTTGTGGCTGCAAAGCCCTGAAGAGTCCCAAGGGGGACGAAAGCTAGGAATGTGATACCTTGCTGCAGTCGTAGTAAAAGCTGCGTTGGCTCATTGGAGCCTCATAGCTATAGGGTTTTGACCCTCACAACTATAGGATTGTGGACCTCAAACCTGTAGCAGTTGCTTCAGGCCCATCAACTTTGGGCAGGGTGGATGGCATGGCCCCCCTGGGCTTGGGATGACCATTTTCTTTGCAAACAGGTAGTGGAGCTCACCCACTGTTTGTAGAGGAACATGGTCTTCCTTTCGGGGCCATGCCGTCCACTTCTTCCATGTATTAATATGAGTGTCCTTCTTTCTGAAGGGTGTCTTTCGGCCCCAGACCCCCTAAGTCTTCCTTTCCAGACCCCAAGTTCAGTGCTTCATATGGAACTATGGAACCCCCTTGGGGTGCCAGGGATATCGAACTCACCTGCTGAAAAACCACATGAAACCACACCTCTGAAAACCGTTTTGGACCCCACCTGTTGGATACAGATCCGGGCCTCGTAACCAGACACACGCAGACACGACCGACACGTGGGACTGCCAGGACGGACTGACCAAAACGGCTGCGATGCCAGAGGGGTCTGGCTTGATCGGCATATACCAGCACCCGAACTCGGCCAGGCTGTTAGTGGAGGGTTGTTGGACCACAGGTCGAAGTCGCTTGGTGACCTGTTGGCCGTTCGGGTGCTGCCGAGTGGCAGTCCCAGACGGGTCGTGTTTGGGACTCACAATTTCGACGCATGGCCTGGTGGTCGCCCCACTGACGCCCCCGCTGCCTGACGTCGTCATGACGCCTCAGGTGGTTTGTCTTTGATTCATTGCTGGTCGCTTGGGCAGAAAAAACAGAACTTCCTGAAATCCCAGTCCCAACCAGAAACAGTTCTGCTTGTTCCAATATGGCTTACTTGAAATCCTGGTCCTACTGGACATGGCTGCGGGACTGTGGAGTTCCATCCAGAACTCTTTCTGCTTGGGGGTTCCAAGTTCGGATCTTCGGACGATGAAGAGGCAGAAGAGATGAATCAGTGGAGTACAATCCCTTGGGCTCCTGACCGCCCCCTCCGTTTCGGTTCGGGCACTAGGGGGCACGGGTGCCTTACGGGGGTCGTTTAACCATCGAAGCTGAGGAGATGGGACAGGAGCCCTAGGGAATGACCTTCAGTGATCTTTGAGGTAAATACCAGGGAAAATCCCATGCTCATCCATGCTCCAATACGTTTGTCCACCTCAACACCTCTCGACCACAGTCAATACTTTTGAATCCCGGCCCCTTAGCCGCCTTAGCTTTGGTGTTGCGACGGGCGTCTCCATCGCCACAAGTGTTTGTGTTTTTCTTCGGTTCGGATGTGTGTGCCCTTTCCTTGAGCTCCCAACTGATGGTGTCCCGCCTTTCAAGATGAAGACATGAGACAAAAAGAAAAGTGTTGGATCTTGCATGGTAGACACCCGCCGCCCCTCCTAGCAAGCAAGTGGAGGCATGAGTGAATCGAGAAAACTAGCAAAAGGTACTTGTTCTTGACTATTTTGGATTGAACATTCTATGGTACTGTACTTGGCCCACTTTGCCTTGTGCGCTGCAAATCTTGAGGTTTTTTTTTGATCACGCGCTTCTAGGGCCGAGTGAGCACTATAGCAGTCTGATTGCTGAGTAAGGAGTCGGCGTGCACAGCCCAGGAACCAAGGTTTTGTATTTTGGGATGGTCCAATCTTCTCCTGTTCATTCCTTTTGTCTTCAGAAATTGCTGCAACATCTAGATTATCTTCCCGCCAGGAAAAAGACAAGGGCCTGATCATACAGAAACTGACAAACACACGAGGGAAGTCCTAATTCTCACCATGCAGATGCCGAGTTCACTTCCAAGTTCTTTGGAAGCACGAAAGAAACCGGCTCACAGTTCCACTATAGGACAGCACATGGGAAAGTCAACCTGAGCCTGTTTTCCAAGCCACGTTTTGGTGGGCTTGGGTCCTCCATGAGCAGCCACAGGATGACTGTGATCATCCACTTAATACTTTTTTCTATAGACTCTAGACCCCGAAATAGATAGACAAAGTACATCCCTTTCAACATGTATCGGACACCTTCCCCTTGGCTACCGAGGACTCGGGCGACTCGTTCGACTCGAGACCCAATCGCAATCGCTCAGGTTGCCTTAATGGTTGCGGAGACTTGGGCCACTTGGTGTGCTTGGGCAAACCATCACGCCCTGTTCCGACGCATGTTCCGGGCTTCACATTCATGGCACATCGGATGGGTGTGGTGTTCTTGTACCAAATCTAGAACTAGAACCTGCAGAGTTCGCCAAGTAAGGACAGTTCTCAGAAGTGGTTTTCTTACACTTCGAGGACACTCAAGACTGACCCCGTGACATTGCAAAACAATGGTTAACCGCGGTTAACCCTTCTCCACCTGTTCCTGATTGTCCTGTTTAGTGAAGAAACAGGTTTGAGATTGAACATTGGTGGGTTCCAAAGGGTGAAGGACCAAGATGAGACTGACCGTTCTTACTTGGGTCGTCCAAAGCTTCCACGGCCCGTGGGGCTCGCAGTGCCGTCCAAAGTTTCACGGGGAACAACCGACTCTACCAGCACCGACGGCCAACAGGTCACCAATTGAAGCCTGTGACAGGGCCTTTCCCAACCCATTTCGCAGACCTGTTGGGTTCGGTGCTGGTATGGGTTCGTCCTCGCGACATGTGGTCGCGACATGTGGCGACGGCGACGTCACTCGAACCATTTCGCCTGCGAAGCGACGAACCAACTGTCCAAGGTTTTGACCATTGTGGTCCTGGCCATGGGCAGCATGGAGGGCGGTATGCCAACAGGTGCTGTCCAAGCCGCTTTTTCGATATTCCGCATGTATGTATACAGGTGTTGTTTTTGGTTTGTCTTCGGGTGCATAAGGATTGCCGAGATTGTTTTAGCATGGTGGATGCCGGGCATTACCAAGCTCATCCAAGCTCTAAGCAAGGGTGTGCCACATTAGAAAGTGGACATTTCTTTGGAGTCACATCTCCTCCTTTGGAGTCACATCTCCCCTCACAACTTCTCAACACAACTGTCACCGCGGTTTCTCCAAATCTTTGCTCAAGACCAGAGCCACCGGCCATCCCCGGTGGCTATCGAAAAGGGATGCCGCTGGCGTTGGTCTGGGGCTACACCGCCTATGTGAGCCCGGGCAAAGTTCCCTGGCAGATTTCCACACTGTTGGGCGTGACCTGCGCTTGCTGCGCCGTGACGTGCGCCATATGCCTGAGGCCGACGTGGGAGGTTTGTTCAGAAGCTGCCAGCCTTGCCCGCCAGTAAAACTTGGGACAGAACTAGCCTGTGAAGAAGGTATGCCAAGCACACCACCAGATGCCAGTATACCACCAGGTTCAACCTCAAAACCCCACCAGGCACATTGGTGGGGTATGCCAAAATGTCCTCGGTACATATGAAGAAGGTATACTCCCCCAAGGGTGAGGAGTAGATCGTGCCGAATTCTGAATCAGAGGTGCTTTAGATGCTGGCCACAGCGGGGTCAGTGAAACGTTCAGTTGTAGCATGGTGGTGTGAAAAGAAGAACAATTACTATCCAATTAATAACATCATTGACTGTTCCGAAATCAGCAGCAGCAGCAGCAACAGCAGCAGCAGCAGCAAGAAGCAAGAAGCAACTGCAGGCAACACTTCATACTTCAAACAGGTCCTCATTCAGCATGACCAGCAACACCACGATCAAAGGTCTCCAGCTACAATCAGTCCCATGTTCAGTAACAGACACAAATAAAAAATAAAGGTATAAACTATGACAAGCTATTATTTTAGAGAGCGGGTAGTCATGGGGGGTGGGGTAATCTACGCCACGTTATTTTAATGCAATTTTCTTTTTGGGGAAACGCCTTTGCCGACCATCATCCACTGTCCACTGTGCCCTGGCACTATGTTGCCAACCCGCGCCAGATGGGGCATTCGGGATGGTCGCAAGAGCGCCTTCATCGTGGTGACGGAGAACCGGCCAATGGTGCCAATCTATTTAGAGCTGGTGCGTACCATTGTGATGGTACCAGCCGTTTGGATGATTCATGCAAAGGAGGAAGTGGTTTTTTTTCATGTTTGCAATATTGACTTCCCTAAGGGTCCAGGACCATCCTGAGGATGTCCTTTGACCCCCAAGACCATTCTCTGGAAGTGCTTTCACCTCCAAGACCATCCTCAGGAGGTACCTGGACCCTATGGGCTTGTGATGCCAAGTCCACGAAGTGACAACGAATTAACAAACAAAGAGCAATACGACACAACGAAGTCGCAAGTCGCAAGTTTTCTTGGCAATGTGACCACCCAAACCAGATCAAAGGAGACATAAAGATCATAAAGGTTCAAGTTGAAATTGTTGGAATGACTGCAGTTCGTTGTTCAGCTGCCACCACCAGGTATATAACCGCGGCAAAATGCTTGCCACAGGCCCTATTTGTAACATCTTGTAACTATGCTCATCATCCATCGTTGCACAGTGGGCCAGAGTCCCAATCTTCATTGTGTGTTCCCAGACACTCCATGTATGCCGCATGCCATATATGCCGATCAGTTGGGGTGGTTTGAGGGTCATCAGCATATATGGCAGTCCCATGGAGTGTTTGGGGTTGAACTCAGGCGATCATGAGTTTGATGGCGGTGTTGTGCATTCTTCGACCAAGCACTTCCTTCACGCTTCAGCTTTTGATGGCCATTTTCACCTGCGTGGTGGTTGGGTGCCCGGACCCACACGCTTTGGGGGGGGGGGTGTGAGAAGATGGTTGGGGCGGGTGCCAGGGGGGTCTAACCACCTTCTGAGGATATGGTTGGAGGTCTAGGGTACAGTAATAAGCGAGATGTGATGAGTCAACCGTAAATATTTAATAATAGATGTTGTGATCTAGGAGGATCATACATGTGCTAGGTAGAATAGCCATGTGTGACCGTCACTAAGCGGAATATGTCCATTGACGTTCAAAGATTTGCCATCCAACGCCCAAGAACCATCAGGAGTTAAGGCCAATGAATTCTTAGTTTCCTTTGTTTGGTCAGGCCTTGCTAACTTTTCAGGGAAGTTCCTTTTGTAGCTCTACTGTATACTAAATCAATCTCACTTGTTGATTTTTTTTCACCCTATCATAATTCATAATCCTCCAGACCTTGCAGATCAAGATCTTTCAGACTCCGTGTTCGTAAATCACAAGAAGAAGAAACAAAGGAATCGCGGAACTCCGTCCGACCTCCACAGGAACATGACGCGATATTTTGTGGCCTTACTGGGTGAGCCACCCATGCCACAGGAGCTGTTGCTTGGACGGAACTCCATGGGACTCAACTCCTTGGGACTGGAAGATATGATGATGGACACCCCTCGCATCACCCCTGGCCTTTTAGAAGGCAGTGCGTCCTGGCAGTCCCAGACGCGTCGTGTTTGGGTATGCTGCACCGAAACGAAACCATCGTTTTCAGGTTCCGTCAGAAATTGAGGAACGTCGCCGGTGTGTTGAAGCAGTATATTATGTAGTTTTTATGTACCAGCTTTTGAGTCGAAGTCCACGAGCTGTTGGAAGGGTTCAATTTGTTGGTTCTCTTGCGGGCTTTGGTTTCTGCAGGATGTCTCCCATTTGGGCAGTCTCAACTGATTCATGCCTCAATCCCTTATCTAAAAACATGCCCACACATTGTGATTGCCAAGCAGGTTAACGTACCCGTTAAAAGGAAATAGAGATTGCCTTCGTTTGTTTGGGTTTGGGTGGGTTCGTTTGTTTGTTTCCACGAACGATCACCAAAGTGTCAGCATGGAGACGATGCTGCAAGGTGAACGTGGAAGGTTCTAGAGCGGAAATTGGAAGCAAGGACCCCATCCTGTACACCAAGGATTCCACATGTGATGGGTGGTGCAGGCAGTGGAGTGGCATTCCTATTATATAAGCTTTTAAAACACACATAGTTCGCCCTGGAAGATCAACATGAAACTTGAACACCACTTTCAGTGTGTGTGTGTGTGGAGCAAGCTAGTCCTCCAAGAGGTCCGTTTTCAGGTAGGAGGCCCTCATCGCAGACAGCTTCGCTTCGGCTGATGTTTTCGTGGTGACTCAATTGGAGCTGAAAGGCGTGTGAAGGTGACGAGAGGTACCTAGACACGACACATGGGACTGCCAGGACGGACTGCCGATCAAGCCAGACCCCCAGTCAACCACCCCTGGCCTGATCGAGTCCTATGGAGTGCCTGGGGTAGTTCAGATCGTGCCACTGAAGCCGACCAGTCGGTTGACTCCCAGTCAGATCAAAAACTGCCAGTCGGACCCTGAGTGACGTCTATTTGAGACCACCAACCACCTAAAACCCTAGGGATCCAAGTACCTTCTCAGAAGGTGTTTGGAGACAGATGTAGGTTTGGAGGATCCAAGTACCTTCTGAGAAGGTACTTGGATCCCTAGGGAAATATCTAAAATTCTGTCTTTTCAGATCTTGCTCTATCAAAACTCCGGTCATGTTTGAGTTCTAGGTCGGTGCATAAAAGGTATATGTTAAGTATCAGCTCAGCTCCTTCCACTGGAGCCTGCTCAAGTGGCCAAGATGGTCAAGTGTCATCCTGATGTAGATGGAAGATTGGAAAATCAAAAGCCATGTTATCCTGTTATCGAGTGTCTATTTGCTCCAGGATGGAGGGGATTGACATGGATTGAACTATAGATTGAACCCACGCCTAGGTAAACCCAGGGAAACCTCATCGATCAGGTGATTTCTTTCTCACCTTTGGGTGTTTCCCCGGTTCTGGGGAAGCAAATCCAGGTAAACATGCCAGTCAGTCCGCATGTGGCTCTAAACCATGCCATGCTAATGCAGCCCCAACCAAATCTGGTTCATCTTCCCTGCCCAGACCAGTTCTGCCCCGAAATCCGCGGCGTTCCAAAACCCACCCACCCACCTTCATCGAGGCTCGCGCGAGTGCCAAAGAAGCGCTGGTGGTGCGGCTCCTGCTGCGGGGGCGTCAACGACACCTGCTGGGGCTTGGGCTCTGCCTGGAGCAAGGTGCCCCATCGCGTCACTCTGAAGCTTGGGCTTTTCACCCACCTCGTCCACTTGGACCGCGTCGCGGACCGTGGGGGTGGACCATGACCCCCGGTCGGGGCCCAAACGTCACGAGGACCGTGACGACGTAACGAGGTAACTACCATCATTTACAACACAAAGTAACATGGTGGAACAATTCCTTGTATACTGGGTGGTGACTCCATTCTCAAAGTGTATAGGCATTCTCCGAACCTGAGCAAGACTCTCGCACAAACCACGGTGGAATCCTTTGTTTTTCCCTAAGGATCCAAGTACCCTCTGAGAAGGTGTTTGGGGTGGGTTTGGAGGGTCCAAGTACCTTTTGAGGAGGTACTTGGATCCCTAGGATTTGTAATCCTCACTGGTCACCATCCATGTTTTTCTTGGGGCTTTGCTAAACCCCGCAAGGCTCTGCTACTAGGTCCGATGACACCGATCCCACAGAGATGGGTCCACGATCATCCGTTCCGATGTCCAGACCGAACCCCCCCCCCATAGGGTCCAGGTACCTCCTGAGTGAGGATGGTCTTGGAGGTGAAAGCACTTCCAGAGAATGGTCTTGGGGGTCAAAGGACATCCGATTCGGATGGTCCTGGACCCTTAGGGGAACTCATCTCCCGGCAACGACCATCCGCACGGACCTGGACCCGAAAAGTCTGGGGCTTTGGTGCCATCGGTGCCACCACTTACACTCCGACTCGTTTTATCTCCGGCGGACACGACCAGTGGTAAACCTTGATGTTTGTGTGTTTGTTTTTTTGCCCCTAGGGAT